TTGACAAATAACTTTCGATCAGTGAGTACGCGTTTCCTCTGAAACCAATTCTCTCCAATGCTTCTAATAATAATTTGTGATTAACTGTGTCGAAAGCTTTCTTTAAATCAACAAAAATGCAGATTGAAGGGATTCTGTTATCAATATTTTGATGTATTTGATTTACAATTTTAGTTATTGCGTCCGATGTAGCCTTCCCTTCTGTAAATCCATATTGATTTTCACTTAAAATTTTGAATTTTGTGAGGTATCGAATCATTCTAGTAGATAAAACTTTTTCAAAAACCTTTGCTACACTGGATATTATTGATATTGGTCTATAGTTGTTAACATCTGTTCTTGTTCCTGATTTATGTATCGGTATTATATTACCTTTTTTAAAATTGAGGGATATATGCCAGATTCAAAGCATTTGTTGATTAGGTAAGTGAGTGGTTAATCTGGCTGATCTAGCATTTAGTTTTCAAGGCCGACCACTTCTCTTAGAGGCTTCCAAGACACCTTTTTGTTTATATTTGTTCAGTATTGCCCAAACTGCTTTACGCTTCAGCTTCAGATTTTTGGCAATGTCGACTTGACGTCGACCATCTTTGTATAACTCAATGATCTTAGTTTTCACATCGAAAGAAGTTTCAGGACCACGCGGCATGGTCTTAAAATCATTCAACTTATTCCACAATACTTGAAGAATACAAACTAACCCTCTTCTGACACTAAACTGTACTAAACCAGTTTTGAAAAGAATTTGTCTACTTTTTTTGGTCCCTCATAAAAAAGTGCTTATATTCAGACTTGTATTGTGTTCATTGCAGATAATGTAAAAGCAAGGAATTTAGTTTTTCTACTAATAACGCATTTGTTTATGGAGCAATGAAGTATGAATACGTTTTCTAACGGTATTTAGGTAAATATTTATATTTGTCTATATGTATACTTTTTTCCAATACTGTATATATATCAAGTGTAACGCAATCTGTATAAAAATTGACGTGTCCGAGAGTTTTTCACAAAAATATCCCAGTCACAAATAGGAGTGCGACCTTTCCGTTGCGCCACCCTGTATGAGCCGTTTTAGTCGTTACTAAAATAAATAAGTATAAAGTGCGCCATAATGAAAGCGATTGGTCCATATCTAAATAACTATATCTCTAAAGAGCTTGCGCCCTAAATAAACATATTATCCACAGCTGACATGTACAATTAATCTGCTCAATCGAAGGCGGTAAACAAAACGAAAACAGCATCCGATCAAATCGTCCAGCCATCATCGATTCCCGCATATCTCGCATATGACATGTAACAGCCGCACGCATGGCAACACCGCCGTGCAGAGCGAACACACCCCTCTCGTGAAAAGGTAAACAAACTGAAGGCAGAGCAACCGCCCGGGTGCTGTAGCACACCAGCCTGAGAGGGGGGAGGGGCAGCAAGCGGCCGCGGCAGACCAGCGACGTTGGTTCGCAAGGTTCGCCGCTTAAATGCCGCCTCGCCTAGACCATAACCTACGCACGTTCAAACATGACAACCGAGTATCGAAGATATTTACCATTTCGGGTCCCATATCCTTCATGCCGTTTTGTCGCAACCAGTCGCTGTTTCCATATTATTCGACACCCGAGCGCTGTATACGTGCGCGTGTGCTGTCAACTGCACCACTGTCACACTGTACGTTTCCCGCGCACCACTACAATCCACAAAACGAATGCGACGCGGGCGGGCGCAATGACTATCTCAGAACGACAAACAACGAAAACGTCTCGAGGACTCTGGAAGATGATAAGAATCTAGTTGGCGCTGCCGTCGTAGCAACGTCCGGACCGCGACTGGCTAGGCGGACAAAGGAGAGGCGGCAGACGGACGCGCATGCGTCTTCAACATCGCCGCAGTGCCGGTTGACCGCCGGTGCCTTCGCCACAGCCACAGCAGGACGATGTCGAGGCGCCGACGGACGCAAAAAACAACGCGGTGTTGCCAAATTGCGCTGCATCTCCTTGATGACAGACAAGTTTTGGCATCGAAGAAAGCGGAGCCAAGTTGATGGATCGAACGAATGAATTATGAAATGAGGAGCTCTCACATAGGCCTTATGCACGCCTAAACGTCAAGCTTCACCCTTCTAGCAAAATCAGCTCGATCTTTCCAGTATTGACAGAAAGATCGACCATTTTTCCAAAGCGTGAATTACTCGAAAAAAAATCACGAGACAAACAACTTGTATTTCTATTTGCTTAATCCAAGGAATATAAGAATTACACAAAAGTCAGTGGCGTACATTTTTTGTCACAAATATTCGTACAGGTCCCGCTCGAGGTGCCGCTGAAATTAATAAATTTAATCAAGTTAGAGCTAAATTAGCTCCTGGATGTTATAAATACCACAGCCAAATCTCAACAAAATTAGGTAACAGATATTTGAGATATTTACGAAAAACCGTTTTTCTTTATGAATTTTAACATCATGAATGAAGAATATGCGAACCTGTGTTTATATGAACTTTTTGTCTTAAAATTACTCAAGGAATCGTCTGTCAAACTTATGATATTCAGGGTGTCCGCAAAGATGGGGTTTTCCTTTAAACGACGTGTAGATCTTGAAAACATAAGCAATTTTTCTTAGTACCATATACACCAATGTCTTAAGGGAACCGAGATAAAGGGCTCTGCAACATCAAAAATATCTGAATGCTGTCCTGTAGCCGCGACATCACCGACTGCTACAATGTCACTGGCTCAACCCGACGACAGAACTGGGTCGGGGTCAGTGTGTCAGGTTTGTATGCAACCTTCAACCGACGGTTACGGTCACGCATGTACAGGTAATCGCGTAGACGAGAATCCCTCAACAAGCACGAGAGACGTGGCTAGAGAAGTGCAAGTATCAAAAACTAAAGTGTGGCAAACGCTGCGTGAAGAGGGGCTGTATCCGTTTCACGTCCAACGTGTACAAGCCCTTCAACCTGACGATTTTCCAGCAAGAGTGCGGCTTTGTGAGTGGTTGTTGCATCAACATGACAATAATCCGGACTTTTTGAAGTGCATATTGGTGACAGACGAATCTACGTTCACGCGTTATGGGGTGAATAACTTTCGCAATACTAATGTTTGGTCAGTAGAAAATCCGCACGCTGTCCGTCGGGCACATTTTCAACAAACATTTTCGGTGAATGTTTGGGCTGGCATGGTGAACGGTATGCTCATTGGACCATTTATTCTCCCAAATCGATTGGACGGGATTCAATACCTAGACTTTTTACGCAACATTTTGCCTTCCTTGTTAGAAGATGTGCCATTAAGTGTAAGACAATCAATGTGGTTTCTGCGTCTGCTCGGTAGCGCTTCAGCTGATTTCATTTTCTGTTGGAGCTGTATGATTTCGGGCAGAGACGTACTTAGCCCTTCTCGTCAACTGGAGAGTGAGTACGTTTTCCTTTATTTTTTTTTTTACTTGGTCGCCCTCGTTTCACTACACATTAACCTTTTGTTATTTCAAGGGTAGTTATTTCTGAAAAGGAAAACCCAACTTTGCGGACACCCTGTATACTTAAATAACACCCAGTATAGGTAAACTGCGTTAAATTAGAATATTTTGGGTTGCTCTTAATGTCGGTTCTTACGCGAAATACTCTGTACATTAAAAAAAGAATTGCACTAATAGCCAACACTCTCACCAAAGATAACCTCCACTTGACTAAAGACAAAGCACAAACAAGTTTTTGAACGTATGGATCTGTTGCGTGATACTCTCTTTCATGACATGCGTGCTTATCTGCTTCCCTTATCTTACATTTTATAACATTTATTTTATTGGCTGCGTGCTTAAGAGACACTTCAGAAACTCTGACGGATGAAAATTATAGATGTGGAAAAACGGATAGCGCATGTTTTTCTAATCTGACCACCGCAAAAAAATGCTTTGCCAGATATAGAAATGATTTTAATTGATTTTACCGTCCCTTGAGGCCGATTTCACACAACAATTCAACCAATAAGAAAAATCAATGTTTTTAAACATATACTACCATCTAGATCATTGATTCCCAAAGTGGTCTATATCGACCCCTAGGGGTCTATGACAACCTGCAAGGGGTCTACGTCAGCGAAAAAAGTTTGGGGGTCCATGAAATGAATATGGGGGTCCACGATAGTGGATCTCAACACATACACTGATAGTATCTATTTACTTACATCATACTATCTTATAATATCAAAACATATACATTATTTATAAAAGTACCTATGAAGTAAAAAATTTATTATATATGTTTATAAAATTGTGTAAGTTGTAGGATGTTGGTATTCGCTTTGTGGTCGCAATACATTTTGAACTTGTAAAAACCTGAGAGTCGCAATCTCAGAGCTTCGCTACCTTGCACTGACTTGTTCAATTCGTCACTCTATAAATACGAATGTGGGACAAATACGTTTATTCGTTTCCTGAATCTTGAAAAGGAAAGTGCTAAGAAAATATTTTAAAAAATATAAACAGATAGTATATCACACAAATTATAGTGAGTCAGTGTTATTTTGTTTGAGAGTGCTGGAGAAAAGTAAGTACATTATTTTTTATTAAATTTAAGTTTTGTACTCGTAGTTAGCAAAGATAGATAAATTACGCCAATCATGACTTTAGTTATTAATAGTTAAATATTCAATCATGCAAAATTACACGAGTACTCAATAGTTTCTTTTTGAAAGTTTTAGCAATCGCTAATATAATTACAGTGCAATCTCCATAATTCGAGCTAATTGTTGCAAGAAGATGTTCGAATTATGGAATGTTTTCGGAAAAATCAAAAAATATTTTTAATATACATCTGCTGGATTTTCTGTCTTACGTAAATAATTTAATTTTGCCCACAAATGACTGATGCCATGTCCGAATCTAAAAAGAAATGTAGTCAGTACAGTGTTGATTATTTGAAATTTGGCTTCATTCCATCATTGCCGGACAAACAATCGCCCATGTGCCTTTTATGCAACAAAGTTTTGGGCAATGACGCTATGAAACCATCTAAACTGCAAGATCATCTGAGAAGATGCCACCCTGATAAAACAGAGAAAGATTTGAAATACTTTCAAACACTCAAAGATAAATTTCAGAAGAGACCTACACTGGACAGAATGTTCGCTTCGACGTCACAAAGAAATGATGATGGTTTGCGGGCGTCTTACAATATCTCGTTACTTATAGCAAAATCCGGAAAACTGCATACTATCGGAGAGAAGTTAATTTTGCCAGCCGTTGAAGAGGTTTTAAAAACTGTTTTACACAAACCTGCATCTGATATCATTAAAAGAATTCTCTTAAGCAACGATACTGTTGAAAGACGTATTGATGAAATGAGTTCTAAAATTGAAAGCTTCTTATGTAATTATTTGCAAACGACCCATTTCTCTATACAACTGGACGAATCAACTTTACCTGATAATGCAGCATTATTATTGGCATATGTTCGTTTTATTATGAAGCAAGAAATCTACGAAGAACTGCTCTTCGCAAGAACTTTGATAACCGACACTAAAGGTGAATCAATATTTCATGTTTTGAAGGATTACTTCATTGAAAAAGCAATTCCTTTATCAAATATAATACCAGTAGCTACAGATGGAGCACCTGCCATGGCTGGACGTTATCGTGGATTTTTTAGCTATTTAAAACAAAATGTGTCAGGGGTGTTAGCAATACATTGCGTCATCCATCGACAACATTTAGTTGCTAAAAATTTGAGTGTTAGATTGCATGAATCACTTCATTTAGTCATTGATGCAGTAAGCCGAATCCGAAGCAAAGCGTTGAATACGCGGTTATTTGCGTAGTTGTGTGAAGAAAATGACGAACACTTTCATCAATTACTCCTTCACACTGAAGTACGCTGGCTGTCGAAAGGCTTATGTTTGACAAGATATTTTGCACTTTTTGAGACTATTTTAGAATTTCTGGATACTAAAGATACAATTTTAAAAGAAAATTTAATGAAGAGGGAAACACACATCGCCTATTTAACAGATTTGTTTACAAAATTTAATATGGTTAATTTGCAATTACAAGGCGACAGTTTAAATTTGATTAAAACAAAGTCCATCTTATCAGCGTTTCTTGCCAGAGTTAAACTAATGAAGCAAAATATTGGACGGGGCGAATTTTCTCAGTTCCCCAATTTGTCACAGACAAGCTGCCAGGAATACGACGTTTCAACTTACGTTCAACATTTAAATGCCCTCTATTCAGATTTTGAATCTAGGTTTGAGGATATTTTGACTATGGTAATACCACCGTGGATAATTAATCCATATGGTGACATAGAAGAAACGAATGTCATAATACAAGAGGAACTGACTGAACTAAGTACAAACGAAGAACTTAAGGTTCAGTTTAAAAACGGATATCAGCAATTCTGGCTGCAAAACAACATACCCGTTACTTATCCCGTATTATGGAATATAGCGAGGAAATTTTTAATTTCCTTTCCATCGTCTTACCTAGTGAAAAGGGGGTTCAGCGCTGTTACCAATCTCCTAACGAAAAAAAGAAACAGACTGGTCATCATTAGCCGAGGAGATTTAAGATTAACCCTTACCAATTTGACGCCAAATGTTGATAATTTATTATTAAAGCATCAAGTTCATCCTTCTCACTAAAAATATTGACTTATTGCTTATGTTATTTTATTTATAGTTTATTTTATGTTTATTGGTATCTGACCAATAAATGCCCGCATTGGGAAGAAGTGCCCGCATTGATTTTTTTAAAGAACCTCCTTTATAGAAAATATTTTTTTTTTAAATTATTCTGAAAATTCAAGGATATGTACACACTAATATTCGTTAATTTTTTGCATATTTTTAGATAACTTAAATGTATAAGAAGCGGAATTTAATCAAACTAACAGTGAAATTATCGTAGAACATACGTTTATGTTATAATTAATAAACGAACTCGCTTATTGTACTATTTTAAGTAAAAAACTTTTTTTTTATTATTTTTCACTTTTTTTATTTTATCCCTCTTAATTTTTTTTCAATGCGGGCACTTATTCCCAATGCGGGCACTTATTGGTCAGACACCTGTTTATTTAATGGTAATTAATTTTATTTTGAGTAGTTTTAATTTAAATTCAATTAATAAATGTATAAATTAACATGTGTTTTTACTTTAAGTTTTTAACACTAAACTTCACTACAGTTAGAAATTTACAGGAAATCAATATCAGGTAAGTAGGGGGTCTACCCAACACGGAAAAACATGGCAAGGGGTCTACGACACAAAAGTTTGGTGAACTCTGATCTAGATCTAGACAATGTGGTTTTAGGAAGAGATATAATGCTGCTGCAGCATTGTTAGATCTAAGTACAGTAATATTGTTAAGGCTTGGAATAACCATCAAACTACTTCATTCTTTTAGGTTTCTTTAAAGCGTTTAACACAATCACTTTCAACAGCCAAAAGTAAATTTTATGGTTTCTCTGAATCATCAGTTGCTCTACTGAATATCTTTTTAAGAAATAGATCGCAAAGAGTTGTCGTCGATATGAACTTCTGCGGCTTTAATATCATCGGGAGTGCCTCAAGGGTCGGTTCTTGGGCCACTTCTTTTTATTTTATATATCTCTGATCTGGATTAAACACTGCAATACTCAGGTTTTTGTGGATGACTAGCAGTAAAGCAGTAATTTTAATACTGACAATACAATAATTTCTAAGGCTCTAATTATGAAGACTTGAGATCTATCGGCAAGTTGACTGACTACAGCGAAAATAGTGAGAAAAGTGAATGCTTTCCATGAAAAGCGAGTAAAAGTGAGATGCCAACATCCCTGACGTGGTCCTTTCATCACTATAAAAAACGGCGTCCACCACTGACTATTTTAATCACGTCCAATCCCATCAATCTCGAGCGACCTATCGAACTCGACCTCCGTCCCTCATCCGGTCGCGCTGAACCGAACCCGATCGCGTTCGTGATGCTCTCGATTTGCACGAACGAAACAATCAAAACAACAGGGACAAAACGCAACCCGACGTCCCTGGGAGAAGATATTAAATGAGAGGAGGCATTCGGCCGAGCAAAGTATCACTGACGGCTAATCAATATACAGATAAACAACCTGAGCCCTCAGCCTCGGCTTAGTCACGCAGCTACTGAAGCTGCTGGTAGCCGGTACCAGCGAATTCCGACTAGGTAGAAGGAATACGTCTACGGTAAATAAGCAACAAAAGTATAGTACAGAAATTCGCACATGATGTGCATGACGATGATTCTCTCATTATTACATGACAGCTGTCATATGTCTATTAGCCTCATATTTGTTGTGATACGGTAATACTCATAACTAGTACTACGGCAGTAAATTAACAGAAACGCTTACAAGTAAATCCTTATAAAAATATTTGTTGTTGAATTTGAACACTTTTTTGTGATTTATTAACCCTGTGAATATGTCGAGGAAGCGTAATAATTATCCTAACTCTTTTTGTTATGTCTGCGGAGAACTAACATTCAAAAAACAACGACGAAATTTTACGAATGTTGTGTTGGAGTGTTATCACCAATGTTTTGGTTTTTCTGTCGCCCATCAAGACAAATCCTGGGCCCCTCATGTCTGTTGCATAACGTGTGTGAAAAATTTTAGCTGACTGGAAGAAAGGTGCACGACCTATGCCGTTTGCTGTACCCATGATATGGACTGAACAGCGAGATCACGTTTCAGATTGCTATTTTTGTCTCACAGACATAAAAGGTATAAATTACAAGAAAAAAAACACAGTTATTTACCCTAACTTATCTTCGGCTATAAGACCAGTCTCTCATTGTAAAAAATTGCCAGAACTAATACCAGTTGCAACTACGTCTGTTGAAAACAATTCACAACCGTCCACTTCAGGTGAATGTGTTGACGAGGACGATGACTTTGAGTTAAAAGGAATTGTAAACGAGCCACATTTGATAACTCAAGGAGACCTAAATGATTTGGTTCGGGATTTAAATTTGTCAAAAAAGCAGTCAGAACTATTAGGATCACGTCTAAAAGAATGGAATTTGCAACATCATAAACCAAAAGTTAGCTATTTTCGAAACAGTGATCAACACTTCAGAACGTATTTTTCTCAGGATGGAGATTTGGTGTTTTGCAATAACATAAATGAGATTATGAAAATGTTGGACATAGATTTTGATCTCTCTCAGTGGCGTTTATTCATTGATTCTTCGAAAGCAAGTATAAAAGCAGTGTTATTGCATAATGGAAATAAGCTTCCGTCTGTACCTCTGGCCCATGCTGCAAATATGAAAGAAACCTATGAAAATATGAAACTTTTACTTGAAAAAATAAATTACAATACATATTCCTTCAGAATCTGCGGTGATCTTAAAGTTGTTGCACTATTACTTGGACTTCAGCTGGGTTATACAAAGTTTTGCTGCTTTTTATGTGAATGGGATAGCCGAGACAGAACTAATTACTATATAAAAAAAACATGGCCTACGCGTGCATCGTTAGTTCCTGGGCAAAAAAACGTAAAGCCAAATAATGTGCTTCTACCACCATTGCATATCAAATTAGGATTAATAAAAAAATTTGTGAAGGCAATGGATCGCAATGGGAGTGGATTTTTGTATCTAAAAGAAAAATTCCCTAAAATAAGTGATGCAAAGATAAAAGAGGGTATTTTTGTTGGCCCTCAAATTAGGGAGTTAATAAGAGATTCAAGATTTGAAGAAAAATTAAGCGATTTAGAAGCATCTGCATGGAAGGCTTTTAAAAATGTTGTTGCAAATTTTTTGGGTAACCACAAGAGACAGCTACAGAGAGTTGGTTAGCGAGCTACTATTGTCATATCAAGCATTGGGTTGCAACATGTCACTTAAGATCCATTTTTTAGACTCGCAACTGGATTTTTTTCCTGACAATTTAGGGGCTGTCAGCGACGAGCACGGTGAGAGGTTCCATCAGGACATTTCTAATATGGAAAAGCGGTACCAGGGCAAATGGAGCCCAAATATGTTAGCAGATTACTGCTGGACAATTAAAAGCGACCAACCAGAAGCTAAATATTCAAGAAAATCTCAGATTATTAAGTCATTTATAAAAAAAATAACTTTTGATTTACGAGATCTGTGTTTTTTCTTAATATTTTAAATTACTCAATAGAATAAAATCCTTGTCTAGCAAATTTTTTTTAACTGTTTATTTTTTCTTACAATCACCAATTAAAGTAAAAAATATCAAAAAAGTCCGTGTGGCACGACAAAGTTAAAATTTTGTTGACCAGTGTAATTTGTACCGGATTCCCACAAGCACTAATACAGAATTAAACAAGTATGTCACTGATGTGATAACATAATACAGGGTGCGGCAGAGAGGACGGACGTTTTGGGGATGGGTAGTACTCTCCGCCTCCGTGAGAGGTGGGGAGGGTGCCGTTTGACTCGTGAGACCCTAGCATTATTTTACCAGTTGTCGTTATGGAGCCTTGGACGGTGAAGCACCGAGTTTTCGCCTATGATTGTGTCGTCCGAAATAATGAGTCAGTCATCGGCGGACAGCGTGAGTTTCGTCGCCACTTCAACATTCATCGGAATAGAGCTGGTCCCTCTCGAAACACCATCCTTCGTTGGGTTCAATCACTTAGCACGCGTGGTGAACTGATCAACAGAAGACCAAGAGGAGCGCCGCGAACAGTTCGAACTCCTGAAAATGTTGAACGCGTTCGACAGGTCTTTCTTCGATCTGCCCGGAAACATGCTGCTGCACTTCACCTTAGCGATCGTTCGGTAAGGCGAATGTTGCATATGGATCTCCGCTTTCATCCCTACAAATTGGCCATCGTGCAACAGTTACAGCCCGGAGATTATGCACAACGAATGAACTTCGCACGTGAGATGGAAGCACTGATCGATCAAAATGAGAACCTCATTTTGTTTATGAGCGACGAAGCCCACTTTTACAAGCCACAAGCCCCGAACTCTGGACGAATTGAAAAGGGCGAAATTCGCGTGGAAGTCGCCCAAGTTGAGAGAGCGATGTTGGAGAAGGTCTACGCGAACTTCCAAGAACGCCTCCAGCACTGCATCAACGATTTCGGCCACCACATGCCTGATGTGATTTTCCACACTTGACTGTCTCAAATGCTACTTTCTTGTGAACCTGATTCCATCAATAAATTTGTTTTCGAGTAAAAATTAACTATTTTATGATTTTTTAAAACCGTCCATCCTCTCTGCTGCACCCTGTATAATAATCTGCAACGTAGTGTAAAGCATTTACTTTTATTTTACAAAAAAAATAAGTCTGTTGAATGGTTGATTTATTATTATTATAAATTAATAATATTCGCACAGTAATAGTATCGGGCTTTTGCGCTCTTAGCAACACAACTCTGTACCCCAGAGTCAGACTAGGTTAAGTCCATTTCTGACAAAAATGAGTTC